AATAAAACAAACCAAAGAATACATATTGTATTCATACGAATCTATCCTAAAAATGTTGTCGGCATTAAATAACCCATTGAGGGTTGATAAAACAAAATAAACCCGTAAAACAAAATAAACCAAACAAACAAAATCTAAACCAAAGAATACATATTCTATTCATACGAATCTATCCTAAAATGTTATCGGCATTAAAAACCCATTTAGGTTGATATGCCGTCAAACAAAATAAACCAAACCAATCTAAACCAAAGAATACATATTCTATTCATACGAATCTATCCTAAAAATGTTGTCGGCATTAAAAAACCCATTGAGGTTGATATGCCGTCAAACAAAATAAACCAAACCAATCTAAACCAAAGAAAATATTCTATTCATTTGAATCTATCTAAAAATGTTGTCGGCATTAAAAACCCATTGAGGTTGATATGCCGTAAAACAAAATAAACCAAACCAATCTAAACCAAAGAATACATAATCTATTCATACGAACCTATCCTAAAAAAATTGTCGGCATTAAATAAACCATTGAGGTTGATATGGCGTAAAACAAACCAAACCAAAGGTCTCCTATGTCCGTTAAAACATCGATATTTGTCTGAAAAATAAAGAACCCAAGTTGTGAGATTAAGGATTTCAAAATTGTTGTAGGTGTGGAAATTTAACTGGATAGTTTTATATCAGACGAAGGAATTTGTCTCACAAAAGTCAGAAGTCGCATTGGAAAAGCGAATGATGCTTTTGTTAAATAATATTTTCTGACTATTATTTTTTCAGTTTCAGTTTATTTCGGCTCAGACCTTCTGAGGCTGACCTTTAAGGTCAGATGGTAATGATCTCGATTTTGATCGGCTGAACCGAACTTGGGAATGGTAGTATTAGAGAGTATTTTCATTGAGTTAAGTTTTACGCGTCGAAGAATGCAGACGTGTTAATTTCATGTCTTGGGGAATATGCTCCTCAGTAGGGGGGATAGATCGACCCCACTGGCTAGTTTAAAATGTAAGCCTTCTACTAGTAAATCATTATCTACCCCCCGCCAAATTCTTACATTCTAAAAATATTTTCTGCTTTTAAATAACCTGTAAAATGTTCCTTAACCCGTAAAAAATTTTTGAATTGGAGTAGAGGTGTTTTCTGCTTATGATTGGGTTTCCAGTTCCTTCTAAGACCTATAACTTCACTTCCGGTGGCCCCCTTGTGTTCTGGTGGCATTGTTATTTGGGATGGTGTCTCTTACACTGTACTCCTCTACCTTGAGTGGCTCTTGGGACTTGTACAGAGTGAGCATCCTTGTAAGTCTTCTACCAGCAAATCATTATCTACCCTGACCTCTAAATTTTTACATTCTAAAAATATTTATGGTTTACAATAAAATTCAAAAAGTTGTTGAGCCGTAAAAAACAAATCAATGAATAAATCCAGACCCCAAGTATATAGGATCCATAGCTAAAGATACTGGGAAAATATTGACGATTCTTTATAGCATTCCAGAAAGTACCCGACTCTTTCTGTTATGGTCTATCTTTACAAGAGCCAGCTTAAAAAATCGTGAAAAATGTGTTATATTGGAAGAAAGTGTCGCTGCCGACACTTGAGTTTGAACATAGATCGCCAGTGAGCAAACACAGGCGATCCCATTATTGAGTTAAGTAGACCATACGACCATGAAGGAAACGCATATATGGAGGAAGTAGCTGACGACTAGCGACCGTTATTTCTATTCTATCCTCTATTATTATTCGGATCACTATTTCTAGTCTATCCTCTATTATCATACGGTTCACGATTCATTTCTCTACTCTATTCACTATACTACTTCTCTATTCAGATCACTATACGGTGGTTAATTTACCAGCGAGTATTATCGAGCAAGTACTATTAGTGTGGATGTTATTCGAAGGTGTCTGACACCGGTATTATTCAACGGCGTTTCTATAGTCTCTACTACGACAATCATTACAAAAATGAGAACGAGTATTCGTTGGCGTCACAAAAGTGACAACGAGTGTTCATTGACATCACAAAAAAAAAAATGGAACCTCATTCCCATGTCAAGATTGAAGATTCCCTTTCCGGTTTTGACGGGATTCGAAAGCGCTTACGCCGAGTTGCTGGCAGTGAATTATAACCTTTAGTAACTACTACAGCAAGTTAGTATTTGTGGTGAAATCGTTGCTTACTGTTATGTAGGAATAAAGTGTAGCTGCCGACACTTGAGTTTGAACATAGATCGCCAGTGAGCAGAAACTTTGCGATCCCATTATTGAATTAAGTGGATCACGTAACCAGAGAAGAAACGCATAAGTAGTAAATAGCGTAACGTCTGAACGATCTCCATTTCTAGTCTATCCTCTGTTCTATACGGATTTCTATTCTATCCTTAATTACTAAACGGATCAACATTTCTACTCTATCTTCGGACCGCTATTCTCTACTGTATTCACTATATTATTTCTGTATTCAGATCACTCTGCGGATTGCTATTCGAGCGAGTATTATCGAGCAAGTACAATTAGTGCGAGGGATATTCGAATAAAATTGACACCAACGGCGTTACTAGAGTTGTATCTGCTGTTACAAAGTCTCTACTACGACGAGCATTACAAAGTGTTATGGGACCTTACCTTTAATAACACAAAACTATTCCATACGTAATAAATACTGCGCCTCAAGAGGAAGCAGGGAGTTCAGTCCGAAGTCGGGGGACCGGCTGATCGGTTGAACTCTCTGCCTTCGGGCGGGGAGGAACCCGAACGAGGCTACGCCGAAGGGCGGAGTCTCTTTCGGGGAGGTAAACCGACCCTGAACCCGTTTATACGGGTTCAAAGGGGCATTTTTTGGCCGAGCCCACGGGCTCGGAGATCACACCTTAAACCGGCCTTGTGCCACATGATGCCCTCGTGGTGGGGTGACTAAATACTGTTCAGTCTGAAGTCTGGAGTGAGGTCTGTCAGAAGTCCGCCAGGCGTCTGTCACTCAGTCAGAGCGAGCGAGTCAATAAGAGTCGAGTCAGTCCGAAACAGAGTCGCGTTCAGACAATTATTACTAAACCAGATTGTTCATACTAACACTTTCTTCTTCTCTGTATATATTCCTGTTTGTAATATATCTCTGTTATTCCATACCTGTGTCCGAGTTCTTCTTTATTGGTTCTACCTTGGACTATCACCGTGGTACAAGGAACCGGACCATAACACAAAGTGACAACGGTTATTCGTTGGGATTACAAAAGTGGCAACGAGTGTTCGTTGACATAAAAAAAAATGGAACGTTATTCCCATGTCGAGACTGAAGATTCCCTTTCCGGCTTTGACGGGATTCGAAAAGCGTTTACGCGGAGGTGCGGACAGTGAATTATACCCTTTAGTAACTACTAGGCGATCTCATTATTGAATTAATTGGATCACGCAACCACAGAGGAACCGCATAAATAGAAAGTAGCGTAACGTCTAAGCAATCTCCATTTCTAGTCTATCCTCTATTCTATATGGATCGCTATTTCTAGTCTATCCTCTATTACTATACGGATCACCATTTCTCCTCTATCTTCGGACCGCTATTCTCTACTCTATTCACTATACTATTTCTCTATTCAGATCACTCTGCGGATTATTATTCGAACGAGTATTATCGAGCAAGTACTATTAGTACGGGTGTTATTCGAAGGCGTCTGGCACCAGTATTGTTCAACAGCGTTAGACTATGTTTGTATCTACGATTATAAAGTCTCTACTACAATGAGAATTACGAAAGCGACAACGAGTATTCGTTGGCATCACAAAAATGGAAACGACTATTCGTCGGTCCCATAAAAGTGACAAGGAGTGCTTGTTGACATCACAAAAAAATGGAACTGTAACTTCCCCACCCTCCAAACTCTTTCCTAGCGTCTAAAAGTTGCTAGCCTCTCCGTTACTCTGTCGCTATTTCCATGGCAAATGTTCAGACGAGCTACATTCTTTAGTTCCAGTCGTACAGGCCTTCACAAAATTAGATCCGCCCAGTCCACGTACCAGGAGTCGACTTGTCATCATTTCCATGCCTATCCCATTACTGAGGTGAAAGTTTCGCCTAGACCGCTTCTTTCCCCAAAGGTGTTATAGGTGGGGGAAGAAGAGATTGATTCATATCTTACCTAAAGGTATTTACTAGTATGTGAATATAGGAACTCGACTACCTTGGCAAAAGTTATTTTGAGCAACAAGAGACGGGAAGTTGTGGAAAGCCTCCACTGTTCACGTCCAGACAAAGCATAAAAAAGAAAGAAGCTTTCGTGGCCAAATAGAAGTCGTAAATAAACAAAGTTTCTTAGGGCAGGTTGTTGAGAAGTTGTGGAGAGCCATCAACGTTCACGTCATGAAATAAAAAAAAGAAATAAGTTATCGTGATTAGAGAGAAGTAAATAAGCAAAGTTACTTAGGGCAGGTTGTTGGGAAGTTGTGGAGAGCCTTCAACGTTCACGTCATGAAAAGACATGCGATAAAAAGGAAAAGAAGTTATCGTGATCAAAGACAAGTAAATAAGCAAAGTTACTTAGGGCAGGTTGTTGGGAAGTTGTGGAGAGCCATCTACGTTCAGGTCATGAAAAGACATGAGATAAAAAGGAAAGAAATTATCATGATCAGAGAGAAGTAAAGAAAAGGAAAGTTGTGGAGAGCCGGTTGTCATGAAAAGACAAGATAAAAAGAAAGAAATCAACGTTCAAAGACAAGTAAAAAACATGCGATAAAAAAAGGAAATCAACGTTCACGTATCATGATAAAAAGAGAAATAAATCAAACAGAAATAAAAAGTTACTTAGAGAAGGTTGTTGGGAAGTTGTGGAGAGCTGTCAACCTTCATGACATGGACATGGCATATAAAGGAAAAAATATTGTGGTGGTCTTCGTTTTTCATGCATTGGTCACTCGTGGGAGTAACTGATGAATAAACCGTCGGTGCCGGAGAGACCGACACCTCATACCCCAATCATTTTTATTTCGTTTTGTCTTGAGTTCCAAATTCGTCCCTTGCCTTCCAGCAGTGGTCTTCAAGAATTGTTCGTCTGGCAGACCGGCGTGAAATCCAACAGCTGAAGGCTTCAGGAATATATTCTGAAGGCTATTGGCTTTTTCATAATCTTTGTGAAAGAGAATCTGCAACAGAAAAGATCGTGTCACTTTCATTATTTCGCTCTCTACCTATCTCTCTTTCTCTAAATCTATCTATCTATCTATCTATCTATCTATCTATCTATCTATCTATCTATCTGGTTCAGTCTGTTCATATCTATCTATCTATCTATCTATCTATTCATCTATCTATCATCTATCTATCTATCTATCTATCTATCTGGTTCAGTCTATCCTATCTATCTATCTATCTATCTATCTATCTATCTGGTTCAGTCTGTTCATATCTATCTATCTATCCATCTATCTATCCATCTATCTATCTATCTGGTTCAGTCTGTTCATATTTATCTATCTATCTATCTATCTATCTGGTTCAGTCTTTCCTATCTATCCATCTATCTATCTATCTATCTATCTATCTATCTCAGTCTGTTTCATCTATCTATCTATTTATCTATCTCAGTCTGTTCATATCTATCTATCTATCTATCTATCTATCTATCTCTCTCTCTCTCTCTCTCTATATATATATATATATTAGTCTGTTCATATCTATCTATCTATCTATCTTATACACACACGTTTTCGCTTTACATATCACTTTCATTCTCTCTCTTTCTCTCTGTTTTTCTTTCTTTTAATCTTCCATTCTTTAGTTTTTTTCATTTTTTCTCTCTACTAAGTTTATATCTCTCTCATTATCTATTATTCTCTCTTTTTATCTCTCTCTCTCTCTTTTTCTTTTTCACTTTTGATTCTGTACTTTTCTTTCTCCTTTGTTTATTTAATTCTGCCCCCCTCTCTCTCTCTCTCTCTCTTTATTTTTCTCTCTTTTACCACTCTTTGGTTTTTCTCTCTTGCACACTTTCATTCTGCATTTTTCTCCATTTTGCCCCTGTGTTTATTTTGTTCTATCTCTCTTCTTTCTCTCTCTCTCTCTCTCTCTCTCTCTCTCTCTTTTTTCTAATTCTTTGATTTTCCTCTCTCTTATTCTTAGTCTTTGTTTTTATCCTTTTTCTTTCTTCTCTTTATCTTTCTCTTTCCCACTTTTTATAACTTTTGGATTTTCTCCTTTTAATTTTGTGTCAATATTTTATCTCCCATTTGTCGCTCTTTGCATCACTTTCTGTCACACACACTCTCATTCTCTTTTATATATATATATATATATATATATATATATATATATATATATATATATATATATATGTATGTATGTATGCAAATATATGGATATAAATCCGACAATATGAAGAAAAATAATGATAATGTTATAATTTATGAATATGTCCTGAAGATGGTTTATTAGACCGAAACGTCCGACGTTGACATATTAACATTAAACAGCATTATTGTATACAGGATTTTTTTGTTTTTTCCGTATATATTTTTCATATTATATATATATATATATATATATATATATATATATATATATATATATATATATAGCATAATGAGAAACCAAGTATACTTTCTTAATATGTATATATAGAAAAAGTTGCAAATTAAAAAAATAATAATGTTTTATTTTATGAAAGTATTTATTCATTTATATATATATTTGATATTTCAGATTGCCCTCAATCTTTCATCAGAAATAACTGTTTGTTACAAATAAATTAAAATTACTGTTTGTTAGCGAGTAGCGTCCGTCGCGAGACGCGGACGTCACGTGATATGGAACGTCACTGTTCGGATATTCCTAACTTAAATGTAACTGTAATAAATATTTTAGATATTGTATTTTAAAATTAAATACACATAAACTAGGGTTAAATAAAGACTTAGGTATTTTAAATCTTTATAAATATTTCAATAGTTAAGCATTTTTTTAGATATAGTTAAAAAACAAAAAATGTCTTAAAATAATTGTCGGACTTTGTCCATTTCATAATATATATATATATATATATATATATATATATATATATATATATATAGTTTATGAAAAACTGGGTAATCCGTATGGGTAACCTAAGGAGGATAAAATCCAGAGAGTTCAATGTAAATCGAGAGCAAATAATTTAAATAAAAACAGACCACTTTTAAGGTTCCATGTAATAAATTTTCACCCCAGCCCTTTTAAAAGGACTGCGGATCATCAGATTTTACTTCCAAACAAAAATGAAAAGAAAATTTACACATTTTTGACGGGCCGTATTAAACATATGTAAATTAACGAAGTGAGGAAGGAGGGGGAGAGAAGACATGATGAGTTAGCAGATATTGACACATTTGAACGGTTAACTTAACGGAAGTTATACATTGATATCGAAGGGGTAGAGAAGAAAAAACACATAGAGAGAAAAAGAGAGAAGGAAGTTATGTGAGAAGGTGTCACTAATTTTCTTTGTAAAAAAAAAAGGCTAGAAACAGACGCTGTTATTTTGATTTACTTTGAAATTGTTATTTTGGGGGTTCATAAAAATTATAATTATTATTATTATTATTATTATATAATTTGTGTGCATTTAAGCAACATTTTTTCATTCTTCATGAACCGCAATGCGATATTTGCTTCCTGTGTTTCATATGCCCGAATTTATCGTTGCATAGCAATCTTCCATGCAAACAAAACAAACTATCATTGTTGCAATGTCCGAAGAACTATTCTAAAACAAAAATTACCATCTTTTTTTATATAATTTATTATTTAATTTAATGTAATGTACTTGTAATCTCTGATGATGGCTTATGTTAGTCGAAAGCTTACACAAGTTTAACAATAAAAACATGTATCAACATGGTGATTTTCTTTCGTGTTTCGGTGATAATACTTGGACTCAAATTATGTGAGCGTCACAGATGAAGATGTGGAGCTTCCATTGATAAGCTTAGTTTGCATCCTCTCTCCTGTCGTCGTAGTGCCGGCCGCTTTCCACGGCATGCAACAATAAACGACATCATCAGAAGAGGTCTGGATGCAGCTGGGTTCCCTTCGCAAATCGGACCCAAATAATATTTAAATATAAAATTTTTAAAAATCGTAATATACATATACATGATATAGAAAAATAATTTTACTTACTGTAAGTAATTCTAATACATTTACTTCTATTAAATGAAATATAGTCTATAAAAACTAACAATGAAAATATTTTAAAGTTGTAATTAAAATTGTAGTTAATTAAAATGAATTCTAACCTAAACATTTTTTAAAATTGTAATTAAATAAATAAATAAAGTTTACTAAAACAGAGAAATGAATTAGTTTTCTTTGCCGTAAGTGCAAAAAAAAAATTACTTAAATAATATTTAAATATAAAATTTTTTAAAAATCGTAATATACTTGATGTGATAATAATTCGACAAACTGTAAGGGATTCTCATTTCATTTAATTGTTCTTAAAAGAAATATAGTATATTAAAAATTAAAAGTAAAAATATTTCAAATCGTAGTTAAATAAAAAGTATTCTAACCTAAACACCCCCAAAAATCTTTAAATATACAAAGGAAAAAATGCCGTAAGAATTTTTGCCGTTAACAATAAAATTTTAAAAAAATCCAGACGACACGCTTTTAACGGATGTTAGATTTCATTGAAAAATACATCCCTACCCACTACCAAAACGTAGCAATAACTGATACATTAAAATATAAACATAATGAACACCCAGGCACCCCTCGTCTAGTAAAATGAATTCATCTGTAACCTTGGAAACATCAATTATAATTTTAGCTGTGTCTTTAAAACCCAGTAATTTTAAAAGTTACTCCAAAATTCGCTTGAGGATGAAATGGAACTAATGTCTTTAATTTAATTACAAATTTAAATTCGGGGCTTTTATAGAACTGTGTAGTGAAGAAAACCATTTTTAAATCAATTAATTTATAATATATATATAACTGTGTAAAAGCGGAAAAAAGTCACACTTAGAGGCGGCAGTCTGTTTCATTTATAATCAAATTAATTTATAACGCTCTATCTCTGATATTATATACTTTATATAAATATATATATATATATATATATATATATATATATATATATATATAATATTATATACAAAGATTACTTAACTTTTAAATATCAATTTTATCCCGACTACGAAATATCTTTGTAAAATTTACAGTTTTCAGGGTTTGTCGTTTTAAACGTTATTTTCCTTTTTTTTTAATTTTTCAGTTTCTTCCAATCTTTTTTTTTTATATATATATTCATCTGTTAAAATTTTTTTAATTATTTTCACTTCGCATTTTATCTTTTTTATTATAATTATTTGTTTTCATCATTGCTATCTTTCAATTTTTCTCTTTCTCTTGTAAATTTCTCCTTCTCTCTCTCTCTCTCTCGGTTTTTCTATCTATTTTATCTCTCCTTTTGTATTTTTTCACTCAATCTATATCCGTCTCTCTGTCATTGCTTTTGGTTCGCTCTCTTCTTCTCTCTTTCATTAATGTAGCTTACCATTGTGTCTTTTCTTCGCCTTTTCTGTTTGATTAAACACACGATCTCTCTCTCTCGCTCTCTCTCTCGCTCTCTCTCTCTCTCTTATGGTCTGTCTTTCTCTATGTCTCTTTACCCCAGTCAGTTTTCTTTTTGAATTCCCCGCCCCCCCCCTCTCTCATCTCTCTCTCTTTTCTGATTTTTCGTTCTTGTCCATTTTCTCTCTCACCTTCGTTTTCCTCTCAATCTATCATTCTGGATATTCTCTTTTCTTTCTTTCTATCTCTCTTCCTTTCTTTCTTTTTTTCTTTTCTTTAGTTTTTTTTTTCTTTTTTCTTCATTCCTGTCATTCTTTCTTTTTTTAGTTCTTTTTTCTTTTAAATTTCTTTTTCTTTTTCTCGTTCTGTTTCCTTTAGTTTTATAATTTTCTTCCTTTCTTTCATTCATTCATTCATCCTTTCTTATTTAGTTTATTTTTCTTTTCATTGTTTCTATAGTTTTTTTTTTCTTTCTTTCGTTTTATCTTTTCTTCCATCTCGATTTCTTTCTTTCTAATTCTGTTTTTTTTTCTTTATTTTTTCTTTCTATCTTATTCAGATTCTTCGTTTCTATTTCTTTCTTTAGTTCCATTTTTTTTAGTTTTATCTTTTTCTTTCTTTCTTGTTTTCTTTCTTATCCAGTTTATTTATTTATTCTTTCTTTCTTTCTGTCTTTCTTTCCCGTTAAGTTTCTTTTTTACTTTCGTTCTGTTTTATTTAGTTTTATCTTTTCCTTCCTTCCTTCCTTCCTTCCTTCCTTCCTTCCTTCCTTTTTCATTTAGTTTATTTCTTTCTTTCTGTTTTCTTTGGTTTTATCTTTCTTCCTTTCTTTCTTTCTTTCTTTTCTTTTCTTTCTTTCTTTTTTTTTCTTTATTTTGTTTTTATTTTTCTTTCTTTTTTCTTCTTTCTTTTTTTTTTCTTTCTTTCTTTCTTTCTTTCTTTCTTTCTTTCTTTCTCACTTTATTTTTTCTATTTCTTTCTTTAGTTCTCTTTTCCTTAATTTTTCTCTTTTCCTTTCTTTTTTTTCCGTTTTTTTTTCTTCTCTTTAATGTCTCTCTCTTTCTATCTCTCTCTCCCTCTCTCTTCAATTTTTCTCTATCTTTCGCTATTGTTTTCTTTTTCTCTATCCCTTTCCCTTAATCTTTTTTTTCTCTTTCTTTCTCTTCCACTTTATGCTTCTCCCACTATACTTTCCCCTCTCTTTTCCACTCTTATTGTTTTCTTTTGATTTTTCTTTTTCTAAATTTTCCCTCCTCTATTTTCTCTCTCACTCGCTTTGGAGTTCGCGCTTTTTTACCCTTTCTCGATAGTCTTTCTTTCTTTCTTTCTTTCTTCGCTCGTCTCTCTCTCGGTTCTCCGTCTTTTTCCATCTCTCCCTATCTCTATTTTTCTCTCTTCGTCTAGAACATCTCTTCATGTCTTTCTTACTTCATCAAAGAGAGCCACTCTTCCCAGCATCCTCCCACACACTGGCTTTTCTTCACTCTTCTTGCGTAATAAGCCCGCAGATATCCTACAATTCCGCAAAGGTTATGAGGAGAATGTATCTCTCCGGACAGTACTTTCGTGAGATTTCATAGAACGGGTATCCCCCTGCCCCACCCAGTTCATATTTCATACATTACAGATGTTTGAGTGGCAATTTAATCCACGGGGATATCGCAGAATTTAAGAATAGACGCAAAGGGATCTACAGAGTTTTTCTGCAGTGTGTCTTTCCACTGAACATAAACATGTAATCTAATTAAAAATACAAACGTATTCGCATTTTTAAAGAATCATTTCCAAATTCAGTATTGATGATTTTATTTGAACGTCTCATCGTAGAGAAGCGAACTAAGCAAAATAAACGATGACAAAAAACTCTACAAAACGCACCGCTTGACATAAAAATTTGATGATTATAAAATTTATACTTAAAAATCTATGGAGGATTTATAATGACAGGGGAGACGATGGACCCCCAAAAACAAACTCAATGTCAAATCAAACTAAGAATAACTGACGTTAGTAGGACCTTCCAACCCCCAAAAAACATTGCAAGCATTTTTAGGGCTTGCTAACTAATACAACGTATTTATAAAAAAAATATGAGTAATTTACGGGCGCCATTAATCTAAAAAAAAAAAGAAAAAAAAAAGACGTAAAGTGGAATGAGTGCTAAAAATCCTTTGAAAAAATTAAAGAAATTTTTACATCCGCTTTATTTTAACCCCAGTCCGGAGACAGATGTCGCTAGCGATGCCAGTAACTATGCTATTGGGGCCGTAATTTTGCATAAATACAAAGCACGAACAATGAAGGCAGTGGCTCATGCATCTAGAACAAAACTACCTACTGAAACAAAATTGGCAATAATTTATGCTGTAAAGAAATTCCATAAGTATATACGTGGAGGAAGTTTATTGATTAATTTGCAGTTTAGTACCCTCGCTCAGTTCGCATTAAAAATTCCCCGAATGCTTAAATTTAGGTGTAATTGTACATGCTTCATTCGAATCTGGCTTGATAAATTTGATAAAATATACCGCTTTGGAGTTATCGACAGTGAAATTTGGGATTCACTGGCGTCGTTGGCGGCCGCCATTACTCGCGTTGTTTGCATACATTCGCTGCAGAAAGCTAAACGCGGAAGACTACGGAAAGCTAAGCTCCGAACTGATCCTTCTTGTCTAAATTTATCGCAATTACTGCGCACGAGAACTATTTCAGTAGACACGGTCAGTTTGCGCAATGATACCTACACTGATAGCTATTCTGCAGCGAATGTATACAATGGCTGCCCGAGACGCGAATGAATCCAAACATGTATCGAAAGATGATCACCTACGCCTTTATCATGCATGGCACACAACTGATTGATAGGTGTGATACTGTGGAATCTTCCACATTAGCCGCCCACCCCTTTCGGAAAGGTGTATTCTTCCCTAAAAAAAGCCTTAACCAATCACCACTTCGTTTCTGTAAATTCAATCTTCTACTGGTTAAGAAACACTAAACTGTAGCAAAGGCGAAACAGATTCTTTTTCCCGTCAAGCTGACTGGAGCCGATTTTTAAACACCAAAGACTATAAAAACAACTGCATGACTCAAGTCATCGAGTTACGTGAGATGCTACCAAACTCCACGCGTGTCAATTCACTGACTCAACATCACTTCCAAATTCTCAACAAACTCAACACATCACTCAATCGACCATTGTCCGCGTGGGAATCAAATTACAATTGACTTAAAAAGTGAACGTTTTCACTACACAAACAGTAATTGTACAATTCATCAATTTAACCAAACAGTTAAAGGCAAACAACTCTTCACAACTTAAATTCTAACTAACAAGTAACACATGCATACACACTAATATTTGAACGAACACATTTGAGATTTTTCCTTCGAGAAACCAAATTATTTTAATTTCACTAACAAATCAAAACCATTAACTTTTATTAACCAAATTTCTGCATGAACATTCTTCATAACCTTGTCTCTATTGCCACAATCAACAAACATTTTGTTATCCTTGCATGTATATCTATTGTATATATAAAAATCTCTTTATTGTTGGATCTCTAACTACTGTGTTTTTAGTAATTTCTTGCAATACAAATTGTCCTTATATTCTTTATTTGATCTACGTGTTGTGGGATAATGCATGATAAGCACGCGTAATCTTTGCCTTACGTAAATTACATTTTGATACATTTTCCCTCAGCTACATCCTGCAACAGTACAATATCAGTCAGTTGTGTGCCATGCGTGATACACGCGTAGGCGATCATCTTTCGATACATGACTGACGAGGCAGATTTGATGTTTGCGAGTAAAGTAAAATCTGTATTTCATAGAATGTTGCATGAAAGAAAATAAAAAGAACACGAAAAAGACCGATACTGTTAAATATTTTAACCGAGGAGAAAAAATATTCTTTAAAATTATAAAAAAGAATAAGGAACACTGGGAAGAAGGTGTGATTGAAAAACGTTTCGGCAGAGTATTTTAAATGATTAAAGGTCAGAGGTGGGTAAATAAACGCCACCTAACCAATTGAAGAAAAGGTACTCTGACCGTAAAAATACAAGATTAAAAGAACCAGTGCAGGTATTATACGGAGTACTGAGGTACCTATACGAGAAAGAAAAGAAAAATTCCCACAGGCATCCTGGACATGGATCCCAAAAGAAAGAGATATGGCCTCCAGAGGAGGTGAAATCTCGAAAGGGGGGAGGTGTTGTGAGGAAGAATATATCCCTACAAGTTTGGACTCGGCCATCGGACGAAAGACCTCAAAATACACCTACATCAAGAGGAGTAGCAAGTGGGGAAGTATCAGCAGTAGGATTTTAAGTTGAAAACAGTAATTTATGGCTAAATATTCTCTTCTCTCGTTTCTATTCTATATTATGTTTCCCTGTAGTAAAAGCTAATAAACTTGTTGTTAAATCAATTCTGGTTTTCAATTGTTGTTTTGATAACTCTGTCACAAGGAGTATGACTGAAAAAAATATGAATGAAGAAGGAGAATTAGAAAGAAAATTAAACAAAAAATAAGATGAGAAAATGAAGAAAAAAGGAAAGGTCGTTGAAGAAGAGTCGTCAGAAGAAGCTTCAAAAGAAGAAGCATTAGAAGAAGAAGGAGAAAAAAAAAGCATTAGAAGAAGAGGCGTCAAAAGAAGAAGAAGAGGCATTAAAAGAAGAGGCGTCTGAAGAAGAAGAAGCATTAGAAGAAGAAGAAGAAGAAGAAGAAGAAGAAGAAGAAGAAGCATTAGAAGAAGAGGCGTCAAAAGAAGAAGCATTAAAAGAAGAGGCGTCTGAAGAAGAAGAAGAAGAAGCATTGGAAGAAGAAGAAGAAGAAGAAGAAGAAGAAGCATTAGCATAAGAAGCCCCAGAAGAAGAGGAAGAATCATTAGAAGTAGAAGTGTCAGAAGAAGAAGAAGAAGCATTAGAAGAAGCCTCATAAGAAGAACATTAAAAGAAGAGGCGTCAGAAGAAGAAGTGTCATAAGAAGTAGGAGTAGAAGAAGCATTAGAAGAAGAAGAAGAATCATTAGAAGAAGCAGAAGAAGAAGAAGAAGAAGAAGAAGAAGAAGAAGAAGAAGAAGAAGAAAAAACACTAGAGGAAGTGGCGTCAGAAGAAGAAGAAGAAGCATTAGCAGAAAAGTCGTCGGAAGAAGAAGCATTAGAAGAAGAATAAGCATTAGAAATAGAGTGTGAATTTGAAATGTTATGTAGAATTGAAAGCATCTTGACGACAGGATGATAAAAATCTGTGATAATACTGCGGAAGGTCCTGGTTTATTGAGGATATTTGCTATTACTTGAGATGTATATAAGGTCATTCACTGAGTACATTGTAGTGGTGGTAATAATAATAATAATAATAATAATAATAATTCAAACTCTTGAACAATCAGAAAGAACCCCCTCTTTTATCTTCGTTTGAGACGATCTTTTTTTCATGCTTCGAAGCGGATCGTATATATTGGGCGATACACTCACACAAAAACTAACCAGTTAACTCGGCCAATCATATTAGACAGTAAACGTAAAATTCAAAAGAAAAGTGAATCCACACGGGGCCGTGGTTGGGGAAAAGGGACGCTTCGTCTGAACGAATCTTCGAAAAACCAAAAGAAGAAGGATATCTGGGAGTTTGAATAACGGGTCTTGACCGACCTTGGCCTGAGCAGTGTCTTTCAAGTCGCACCTTTCGACATTTTCCTTCTTCTGGTTTCATCAGAGACGCGCAGTGGCCAAAAAAGATTGATGGTGAGGTCATGGCCAAAAGGCATAGCTCATTTTGTAGCCTGATTCCCCTTGATGGGCTTCCGTTCACGTGATTTCTGACCAATTCTTATTATTTCCATGCAGTTTCCATCTTCTTCAAGATTGACTTCTTCTTCTTCTTCTTCTTCTAATGCGTCTTCTTTTAATGCTTCTTCTTCTTTGTCTTCTTTTTCTCCCACTTCTAATTTTTCTTCTTCTTTTAATGTTTCTTCTTTCTTGTTTTCTTTTTCTCCTTCTTCTAATACTTCTTCTAATGCTTCTTCTTCTAATGCTTCCTCCTCTTCTAATGCTACTTATGCTTCTTCTTTTATTAATGCTTCTTCTTTTCCTAAATCTTCTTCTTTTTCTTCTTCTTTTTCTAATGCTTCTTCTTTTTCTAACGCTTCTTCTCTCCCTAAATCATCTTCTTCTTCTTCTTCTTCTTCTTCTTCTTCTTCTTCTTCTTCTTCTTCTTCTTCTTCTTCTTTTTTTAATGGTTCTTCTTTTTCTAATATTTCTTTTTCTTCTATTTTCTTTTCATCTTATAATGCTTCTTCTTCTAATACTTCTGTTTGTTCTTATAATTTTCTTCTTCTTCTAATGATTCTTCTTCTTTTTCTAATTCTTCTTCTTCCAACGCTTCTTCTTCTTCTTCTAATGCTTCTTCTTCTTTTTCTTCTTCTTCTCCTTCTTCTTCCTTTTTATCTAATACACCTTTTTTCTTCTAATGCCTTTTCTCCTTCTAACGTTTCTTTTTCTTATGCGTCTTCATCTTCTTTTAATTTTACTACTTCTTCTAACTCTGCTTTTTCTTCTTCTTCTTCTTCTTCTTCTTCTAATGCATCTACTCCTTTTTTCTATTGATTCTTTTTGTTCTAATGCTTCTTTTTCTCCTAATGTTTCTTCTTCTTCTCCCTCCTCCTTCCTTTCTTTAAAAAAATCATCGAATTCTCCTTCTTGTTCTTCTCCAAGTTTTCATTCTTCTTCTTCTTTTTCATTGTCTATTGAATGGTCAGCTTTTTAAAAGACATGACCCGACCCGAAAGGACACTTTTGAATCCAAATCGTTTGGCGTCCTGCACCTAACATTTACCAGTCCGACAATTCTTTTGTTTACTGATTGGCTGAAGAAAGCTGTCTGCTTTTGACCCCAGCATATATGCACACAGCAGATAAGAGCTAAACGAAGAAAGGAAGGAAGCAAAAAAATAAAAATAAAATTGGAGAACGCGTGGACAGTTTAGTATAATTTAGAGGATGCAGTCCACACGTGATGTCGTTTTGCAAGTTAAAATGTTACCATATATAACAGATTTGTAGCAATATAAAAATGAAAGAAAGAAAAAATGGATGAGAAAGAAGAAGCGAGAATGAAAAAGAAAGAGATAGAAACAAACAAGCAGACAAAGGACAGAAAGAAGTAAATGAAGGAGAAAGGAAGAAAGAAAAACAAAGGAAGAAAGCAAAAGAGTAAATGAAAAGAAAAAGAAGAAAGTGCGGAAAGAAAAAGAAGAAGAAAGAAAAGGAGAGAAAGGGAAAAGAGAAAGAAAGTACTGAAAGAACAAGAGAGAAAGAAAGAAAAAAGAGAATGAAAAGAGAAAAATGAAAGATACAAAGGACAGAAAGAAAGAAAGAAGAGAGAGAGGAAGAAAGTAAAGAGAAGCAAAAAGAAAAGAGAGGAAAAAAGAGAAAGAAAAGAAAGAATGAAAAGGAAAGTGAAATAAAGAACGAAATGAAAAAAAGAGAGGCTGAAAGAAAGGAGAGAAACAAAGAAAAAGAAAAATATGAGAATGAAAGTGAAAGTGAAAAAAGAAAGAAGTGAAAAAAACAGAGGATGAACGAAAAGAGAGGTAGAAAGAAAAAGAAAAAAATGAAAGTGAAAGTGAAAGAAAAAAGAACTGAAAAAAAACAGAGGATGAACGAAAAGAGAGGTAGAAAGGAAAAGAAGAAATGAAAGTGAAAGTGAAAGAAAGAAAAAGAGAGGAAGAAAAACTAAGCTAAACAAGTCACTGCAATAGTACTATCTTCTTTTGCTTCCTAGTCAATTACCCAGGACTACTTATCATGAATGGATCAGTTCATTCATGATAGTGAAAAGGGTAACTGGCTCTTACCACGACAGGTTTATAATATGATTTCTTTTCTGTGATCTTATTCTATCTGTTGTGTTTTTTTGTTTTAATCTCCCGTTATCGGGAAACTGCCTACCTCACCAGACGAGACTCTGGCCTTCGCAGAACCTCGTCTGGATTCCTCTCCGCCCAGTGGTAGAGAGTCGACAAGCAAATTCAACTGTAATCGTTAACTTCTCGGAATTCCCCCCGGCACCGATATTACTAGCGATCTTTCCATCTTTTAATGCAATGAGGGAGGTACTACCGCGGGCAGTTGCTCCCCGAGACCGAGTTACGCCCTCTCCGAAGACAGACACATTGAGAGACAGATTGAGAGATAAAATGTAGTTTATCCGCTCGGGGACTGATACTACACTTTTATCCCAGCCTGATGGTTAACTATAGTACTATCTTCGTTCTTTCACAATTACCCAGGACTACTTATCATGAACAGATCAGTCCTTTCGTGATAGTAAAGAGGGTAAGTGACTCTTACCACAACAGTTTTATAATAGGTTTTCTTTTTTCATTCTATTTGTTGTGTTTTTGTTTTACTCTCCAGTTATCAAAATTCTCTTGCACTATTCAGTTATCCTCTGCACAACCATATGTATTAGTTTTCTTACTACATGTCTTATATCCAAAACTTAAACATAAAGTATTTTTTCTTACTTTTTTCTTATATATATATATATATATATATATATATATATATATATATATATATTGAACAATAAAAAATTAAAAATTAAAATCTTTAGACACACACTGGGTTGTAGATTAATATTCTTTCATTTTTTTTTTATTATTATTCCATTTAGATTCCTCGATTAGTTTCTGTCTAAAATGGCCATCATCGGAAGAATTATTTCTGCTTGCTGTTAGCACTAAACTACAGAAATGAATCTCTCTCTCTCTCTCTCTCCTCTATATATATATATATATATATATATATATATATATATATATATATATATATTCTTTCTTTTTTCGGGTTTTCTTTCTTTGTTGTTTCTTACATTCTTTGTTGGGATGGTTTAATGTATTAATAAAGCGGCTTGGATTGAGGAATCAGAGAGCCGAGTTCGAATTCTAGTCGTATCCATAACATTCACTTACGTGCTAATATCCTTTGGAAAAGTATTAATCCTTTTCTTCTTCCCCCAGCTATGGGAAAAGAGGAAAAGTATTAATCCTTTTCTTCTTCCCCCAGCTATGGGAAAAGAGCAGGATTGACTGGGTTCTATAACCTTGGATGGTAACCGGTCAAGGAGAAGGAAAAAAACTGAATTCAAACACCGTCTTGGATTGGGTTGGTCTCCACCAGTGTATCTTGCCCAAGAAACGTCACTTCTACTAAGGCTGAAGTACACACGGTGCCTTAAGTCTCTACGGTTCACAGGATAAAAACAATATTTATTCAGAGTAAACGCTTACTGGCGCATCGCGCTGAAACACAGGTTCCTGTAGGATTAGTGAAGTTAAGCAACGTCGAGCCTTGCCAGTACCTAGATGGGTGACCGGTTGGGAATTCCAGATGCTGTAAGCTTGTATGTGCGAGTGATATAAAGGGCTTACGGCCATAGTAACTTGTACCACCGGTTCCCAGGTTAAGCAACGTCGATTCTGGTCAGTACCTAGATGGGTGACAACTTGGGAATACCAGATGATGTAAGCTTGAATATGCGAGTGGTATAAATAGCTTACGGCCATATCACGTTGAAAAACCAGTTCCCGTATGATCACTGGATATAAGCAACTTCGAACGTGGTCAGTACTTAGATGGGTGACCGGTTGGGAATTTCAGGTGCTGTAAGCTTGAATGTGCGAGTGATATAAAGGGCTTACGGCCATAATACCTTGAAATACCGGTTTCCAGGTTAAGCAACGTCGAACCTGGTTAGTAACTTGATGAGTGACTACTTAGGAATACTAGATGATGTAAGCTTCGATATTATTATTATTTCAAATCCACCTAATTATGAGTCTATCTATATTTCTGAGATGAGGTATTATGTATACTATTTACATTATTCGGATTATTGTTCTCATCTTTGTCGCCATATTTATTACAACGTTTCGGCCGTTGTACGCTCCGGCCTTCTTTAGGTGGTTGGAATGTCGAACTGAACCCTTCATTTCGCTCACTGAAGGACACATGGCACAGTGGATAAAGGCGTTGGTTAGATCCAGTGACAGAAACCAAAGAGTGTTAGTTCAATACCCGGTTAAGGCAGTGGAGAACTTTCAGAGGGAAATTAACAGGAGATAACTGATAACTGGCATCCATCACACATGGCACGTGGAACTAGAACAGTCTACAACAGTGAGCGAAATAAAGGGTTCCGTTCGACATTTCAACCACCTGAAGAAGGCCGGAGCGTACAACGGCAGAAACGTTGTAATAAATGTGGCGACAAAGATAAGGACAATAGTCCGAATAATGTAAATAATGTCCACCTAATTATTTTTCATATATATATATATATATATATATATGTAAGCAAATATATGGATATAAATCCGACAGTATAAAAGAAAAATACTGAAAAAAACAAAATTCTGAATATGCATTATTAATGTTAAAATAAAGTCGACGTCGGACGTTTCGGTCTATTTAAGACCATCTTCATGGACATTTTCATTTAAACATAATTAACATTATAACTTATAACAATTTAACACAAAAAGACGATGGAAATAAGAGCCCAACTAATTCAGACAGATAACTGAAATTTTATACAGATCAGCGTTCTGTTTAAATATGATCACGTAGTCGTCACGTGGGCGATGTTGTTAAGACGTATTCGAAGATGATTTCCAAAAATTAAAAAATATCAAAAAGTCGAATGAAAAATTTTTATAAACAATTAAAGAAATCTCTTCCGTTGATGTTGGAATACGTAGTGATCAATGGTTCTTATATCTTCAACAAGCTTGAAAGTCTTTCCCGTTACAATGCAAATCCAAAAGTGATTTTAAAAACGATGGAACAGTTCTAAAAAACAGTTCGATAAAAATTCCATTCTTTACTTGATCAATAGATTCCCTCGTCCAAGCTTGAAATCTTCCACGTTATAAAGTAAATTCAGGTTTGTATATTTTCAGTAGACAGTATGTAAGCAAATATATGGATATAAATCCAACAGTATAAAAGAAAAATACTGAAAAAAAAAAAAAAAAAATTCTGAATATGCATTATTAATGTTAAAATAAAGTAAAGAATGGAATTTTTCATTCGACTTTTTGATATTTTTTAATTTTTGGAAATCATCTTCGAATACGTCTTAACAACATCGCCCACGTGACGACTACGTGATCATATTTAAACAGAACGCTGATCTGTATAAAATTTCAGTTATCTGTTTGAATTAGTTGGGGTCTTATGTCCATCGTCTTTTGTGTTAAATTGTTATAAGTTATAATGTTAATTATGTTTAAATGAAAATGTCCATGAAGATGGTCTTAAATAGACCGAAACGTCCGACGTCGACTTTATTTTAATTAATAATGCATATTCAGAATTTTGTTTTTTTTCAGTATTTTTTTTATATATATATATATATATATATATATATATATATATATATATATATATATATATATATATATATGTTTGTATGTATGTAAGTAAATGCTATGTGTAAATAGCAGGAGAGAGTGGGTTCTATAGCCTTGGGTTGCAACCGATCTAAGAGAAGGAACTCTGAAATCAAAACCGGCCTGGAGTAGGTTGGGCTCCGTCAGTCTATCTTACCCCAGAAATACCACTTCTAATGTGGCTGCAGTACACGCTGACCCTACGGGTCACGGGATAAAAAAACAAACATTCTTTGTATTCCTTTCAATGTTTATTTACGATAATTGCAGATATCTATTTGTTGTTTTTTTTTGTTTTTGCTTTTTATAGTGGAGATTAGTTGACAGTGTGTACCTTAAAATCGTCAGCACCTTCCTCAGTATCTTTATTTTTATATTTCCTTCATTTGTATGTCAGATGTCTGGTGATTATCGCTGGAGATTAAATGACGGTTCTTCTCTTCAAATCTCCAGCACCTTCCTCAGTATCATTTATTATTATATTTTATGCTTTATATGTTCGCCCCAGATGTCATGTGGTTATCACCTTTAATGTCTTTCTCCCTTTTATTTTGTTTTTTTTTTAATTTTTTTCAACTATCCTGAAATCTTTCAATATCTTATTTTTTCTCCTTCTATATCTTTTTCTTATTCTTCTCTTTGTTTTATTTTCTTTTTCTTTTCATTCTCTTTCGTTATTCTCCCTTATATTTGATATTAAATCTATTTTCTCTCACTTTCTTTTATCTTATTATTTTTCTTATTATTTTTCTTATTATTTCTTATTATTTATCTTATTATTTTTCTTTTTGTTCCTCTTCTCACTCTTCAGCTTGTTCTCTATCTTTTTATTTTCTTTCTTTCTTTCTTTCTTTCTTTCTTTCTTTCTTGCTTGCTTGCTTTCTTTATTGTTTCCTTTCTCATCTTCTTTTTTCCTTGTGTGTTTCTTTTTCCTTTATGTTTTCCCTTTTTTTTCCTTTTTCTTTCTTTCTTCGCTTTTCCATTTTTTCTTTCTTTTTCTTCATTTTTATTTTGCTTTCTCTATTTTTCTTTTCTTATCTCCTGTCTGTTTCTTTCAAATGTTCCCGTTTTTTTACCGTTCCCGCCTCATCCTCTTCCCCCTCCCCTCCTCCTCCTCCCCCTTCTTCTTCTTCTTCTTCTTCTTCTTCTTTCATTAATCTCTTCTTAATCCTTTTCTTTTTCTGTTTCTTTTCCTTTAATTTTAATTATTTTCCCACTACGCCCCCTCCTCCTCCTCCTTTTCTTCGACTCCTCTTCCTTTTTTCATTTTCATCTTATTTCTCCTTCATTTTTTTTCTTCTTCTTCTTCTTCTTCTTCTTCTTCTTCTTCTTCTTTCGTTTATGTATTACTTCCCACATTTCTTTTCTTCTTAATCCTTTTCTTTTTCTTCTTCTTTTCCTTTCATTTTAATTATTTTCCCACAACGCTCCTCCTCCTCCTTCTCCTCTTCTTCTTCGACTCTTCTTCCTTTTAACTT